ATTCTCTGACCCAACAATATAAAAGTTTAGCTAGCTGAAAGCAGAATGGGTATAAATCTGATGATTTATTTAGATACTGATGCGACAAGTTTATTTGAATTCGTTGAAGTTATGGAAATGAGTATAGGTTTTGCTAAGAGATCCAGATCATGGCAGCGTGAGGAAAAAAAAAACAAAAAACATTGAACATATTGTGTCAGAGGAAGGGCATGCCAAAACTGGGGTCTGTGCTAGTGTGTATAATCTAGAAAAGTAGGTGGGACACCAATTTTGGTAAGCAGACATACGGATTCCATGACTTTCAGGCTTAAATCTTGAAACCAGAGCCTGGAGTAGGCCAAACCAGAATACATCATCAAGTTTGGAGTCCAGATAGTGGAACCAGAGTCAGCTCTAAGAGATAGTGAAATCTGAGCAAAAAAGCATAGAATGYAGCTCTAGATTTAAGCTAGGCACTGGGAAAAAGATGAGTAGTGGAATTACATGAGACTGGGAACTATAATTCTGTTTCTTGTCAGGTGGCAGGTTATCATAGTATCATACCACTRTGTGTTCATGGATTTTAGGCCAAGAAACTTTCACCTTTGTTCTGATTTTAAACACCCTTGAGAATGGGTTATGCTCATAGTGTGTGTTGTTCTTGTGGCAAGGTGGACTTGTATAGGTTCTGGTGCCTATAGGGAAGGGTAAGGTCCATCCTTTATGGAGCACTTGTAGTTAAAATAAGGCAACAAGACAAATTCCGAAGTGCAAATAATGAACTGTATTCTTATCAAGAAGTTCATTTTAGATAATTTTTAATCTGAAAGATCCTTCACATGCTGAAACAGAGTTCTGAGAGAGATGACCAAGACATAGACTTCCCAGAGGAATATGGGTCAGAATRTAGGTGTCACAGGAAACTAAACTATGTATATTTCATGCCTTCTGTACTGTGGAGCATACTTTTCATGGTCCAGTGGACCTGACCTCAGAGAAAAGAGTGTAGTCAGCATGTGGWAGGCCTGTGATCCACTTGATAGCCTACTAGCCATCCTACCAAACATTTATCTCAGGGGATTCAAATATTTGTCTTTATGCCTTGAAATGCTGCTAAGAAATATGTAACTAACATTCATTATTCTGAATAAGTTCACAGGGTGATTTAAAAAGTACATGAGAAGAAGAAAAAGCTTTCCCTTAAGGTAGGATAACATGGCTTACCAGGAACTAAGATAAGACTAGACAAAAACAAAAACAAAAGTCAAAAGACATCATAGAGCTTGAACACTACTCTTGTTTCATGCCTGGTCATTTTTCTCTTGACCCAGGCTCATGCTCCCCACCCCACTTTTGTGTTACTAAGAATTGAACACCTCAGGAGTGCTGTACCCCTGMGCTGTGTGCCCAGCCCTTTTGTTTTGAGACAGCTTCATTAAGTTGCTGAGGCTGGCCTTGAGCTTGTTATCCTCCTTCATTAAGTCACTGGGATTACAGGTGTGCTCCACCATGCCCAMGTCCAGGCTCTAATTTTAATATAAACTAGTAAATGTACTTTCCATAGCAACAGCAGTTTAGGAATGGTAAAGGGAATATGAATGGTTTGTTTTCTTACTTCAGGCACAATAACCTTGGTGCACGACCGAAAGGGCTACTCACTTTGGTGAAGAGTGGTGTTCCCGAAGCATTGAGGGCAGAAGTATGGCAGCTGTTAGCGGGCTGCCATGACAACCAGGCGATGCTGGACAAATACCGAATTCTTATCACAAAGGTAGGACACTCTTTTCATATTATTTTCATGGAGCATCTTAAGTTAATTCTGTTTTTCAAAGCTTCCACAAGTCATAATGCTTTGAACTTCTTTAAAAATAGTTATTTTGGTGTTGTGCACTTAATACTTCTGACTTTTGTTTTGAATACTTGTTGAATAGTGGTAAGTGATGTTCATATCATCTATGAGCAATTTATGCCTAGGTTTCATTTTTTTCCTTCAAGTGACTTTATGATTTTTTAAATTTTAAATGTTTTTTTTGATGGACCTTTATTTTATTCATTTATTTATATGTGGTACTGAGAATTGAATCCAGTGCCTCACACATGTGAGGCAGGTGTTCTGCCACTGAGTCACAACCCCAGCCCGACATTATAAATTTTATTTACCAAATTGAATATACGATTGGCTCTTGGTATCCTGGGTTTTGCATCAGCAGATTCAATGAACTGTGGATSCAAAATATTTGGGGGGAGGGGAAAGCTTGTGTCTGTACTGAACACTTAAGCTCTCCTCCCTTGGTATTATTCCCTAAACAATATAGACTAATCAGTACTTACATAGTATTTACATTATATTAGGGAATATAAGCACTCTAGAGATGGTTTAAAATGTACAGCAGGATTTACATAGGCTGTATGTAGATGCAATTCCATTTTACATAAGAGATTTGAACATATTTGGGTTCCCCAGGACCATCCTGACTTCAGATGAGCTAGCTACAAATATGAGGGTTCCCATAGACTCCCTGAGGTTTGATAATTTGTAGCAATGACTCAGAACTCAGCAAAGAGCTCTACTCATGATAATTTTATTTTTTAATAGCAAAACAGTGCAAATCAGAATTAGCCAACCAAGTCTATTGCCCTTTTAAAGAGCTTTCCCCTAAGTCCGAACCATGACTCTACTTAATATCCTTTGACCAGAATTCTGTAATAATAAGAAAGAGTAGATATTTGGAGGACAACTGCCTTTCTCTGCTTTAGTTTGCTTCTTAATTTGAGATTTGTCTTAGAATAATTTGTTTTTAAAATACATGTACATCTTAGTTTATATTCAGAATGGCGAATGTTACTAGTTGCCATTTGAGATTGACTAGCATTGTGTAATAAAGATTGTAATATAAATATTTCCACATTCAATTATAAATATATGACAACATAAACTTATTTTATTTCTATTGTTAACAGTACAATTTATTAAAGACATAATTTTCCTTCAGACATTATAGAAATGTGTTGCTCTGATCATGTGCCTATATTCAAGCTCTCAAGTCATAACATTTCTGACAGGACGTACAATGGAATACTTAATTTCATTGTCTTCCTTACATCATAGCCAGAGATAATAATAAGATGAATACTGTCATTATTTCTAAAAATGATTTTCTCACTTTTCTATGTTTAGGAGTAGAAATGAGACAGCAAATGCTTGTAGCCAAGAGTGTATTTGTGTATTTTGGGGCTTACCACCACTCAGTGGGAAGAGAACAAACATGCAGAGGATTTTCAGTAAGAAGTGCTTGCATATTTGGCACTTATTGGTCATGGGTTCAGCAGCTGTTAGTCTCTTCTTTTGCTTTAGTTAATTTTTTCTATTTATTAATGGAATGGCAAGATTTCAAGGTCAGTTAATGAAATGTTGCAGCTTGAAGAAACAGTGTTGCTTCATAAAAACCTTACTAGAGGCTCCAGGTTGCTGGGAAAGAAGGAATACAAAGTGTTTATGGAAAAGCTACTTTATGACTTAGCTTCTATGAAAAAGTCATCTCTCATCAATTCTATATTAGGAGTGCTCTAGATGAGAAGCAGAGGCCACAGATCACCCACCTTCTGAAACACTCATCTAAGGGGAGTGAACATGTAGCCTTCAGGGTGGGTCTAGCCTGCAGAGTTGTTTTGTGTAGCTATCAGAACATCCAAGAATGATATCCATCTCTGGCTCAATTTGACTTTCTTTTGCTGGCACGATGAATCACTGAGCAATAATCACATTTTCATGGATTCTGTGGCATTTGATATGGGGAGGTTATGTATATTKTAGGGCAAGTTGAATTTCATCTAGTGTAACAGAATTATATGTGTAGTTTCAGTAATTATATGACATGTGTGATATAATTTATTAAATCTTGTGGTTAGTTCTTATCGCAAATATTAGGTTATAGAAGTGCTCTTTTATAGAAGTGAATTTGTAACATTCATACTTAGTACTTTATTAGAATCCAAACAAACCTTTAATTGAAAAACTTTCAGAAATAACAAAATTACCACAATTTTCTTCCTACCCCTTGAAATTTTGTTTTTTTTTTCCCCTGAATCTTTTCTTCGAGAAGTCTGTACCTTTTCATTTTAAAGCATTTGAGCTTTGTTGTTTGAAAGACCTGCATTTTAGTTTCACCTCTCCCAAGTATTCAGTATTGGAATCAGTGTGTGTTTCTACTTTAAAATATAGAAACTTCCAGTCACTGTTAGACCAGGATGCAAGAAAAGACCACTGACTCCAGTTAAAATCAAATTAAAGTAAGCTTATTGTTTCCACCTGCTGGGCTGCCTCTCCCAACAAAAACCTCGGGAACAAGACAGCCTTGCAGCTTTATTGCGGCCCAGCTTTATAGCCCAGAAAGTTACACAAAGGGGGGTTACATGAAGAGTATAACACAAAGGCTAGTTTACACATTTTTGCTGGCCCCGACATCAGAATCTGGCCAGAGAAGGCCAAGATTTATGAGGTGTCACTGAAGTTTCAGAGAGTGCTGCTATCTGGTCAGAGAGATCCAGGCATGGGTGAGTTCAAGGCACAAGCAAGTTCAGAATTTGCAGTAATTTATAGTAAAGCCAAAATTATCTTCTCATGGCTTTGTGGCGAGATGGCTCCCAATTTTAAGAGAAAATCAGGCTGGGTCTATCATCACCTGACATTCATAAGGACACATGAAGTGAATAACACCTGATGAAAATCAATTATGAATGGTCAGATTTGTCTGCACCCTCCTGCCCCCASTGAATATCCAGGAATATTTGAATCCCAAAACTTGACTTTGTAGTGATTATATGACTTATTATTTTGGTGATTATGCAAATTCATATATCATAAAGTAAAATGATATCTTCTAAAAAACATTGTTAAAGATTGTCTGATATAATCAAGACCACAAGGTAAGTATTAATCTCATTCACTTATTAATTCATTCAATAACTTCTTTATTATTAACAACATTTTTTCTTTTTAAAAAATTTTAATTTGTTATATRTGACAACAGAATACATTACAATTCATATTACACCTATAGAGCACAATTTTTCACATCTCTGATTGTACACAAGTAGAGTYATATCCTTTGTGTCTTCTTACGTGTACTTAAGGAAATGAATACAATCACATTCCATATTCCCTCTCCCTTTCCCTCCCTCCCCTTTTCCTCTTTGCCCAATCTAAAGTTCATTTAATCCTCCCATTTACCTTCCCAAAAGCGTATTATGAATCAGCAGCTTAAATCAGAAAAATCACTTGGCATTTGGTTTTTTGGGAKTGGCTAATTTCACTTAGCATTATATTCTCCAGCCTCATCCATTTACCTACAAATGCCATGATTTTATTCTCTTTTAATGCTGAGAAATATTTCATTGTGTATATATATCACATTTTCTTTATCCATTCATCTACTGAAGAGCATCTAGGTTGGTTGCACAGTTTAGCTATAGTGAATTGTACTGCTATAAACATTGATGTGGCTGTGTCCTTGAAGTATGCTATTTGTAAGTCCTTTGGGTATAGACTGAGGAGTATGATTGCTGAGTCAAATGGTGGTTCAATTCCAAGTTTTCCAAGGATTCTCTATACTACTTTCCATATTGGCTGCACCAATTTGTAGTCCCACCAGCAATGTATGAGGGTGCCTTTTCCCCCACATCCTSGACAACACTTACTATTGTTTGTATTCTTAATAGCTGCCATTTTGACTGGAGTGAGATGAAATCTTAGAGTAGTTTTGATTTGCATTTCTCTAATTGCTAGAGATGTTGAACATTTTTTTTCATATATTTGTTAATTGATTGTATATCTTCTTCTGAGAAGTTCCTTGGCCCATTGATTGATTATTACATGCGGATTTCCAGTTTTCCCAGCACCATTTGTTGAAGAAGTGATCTTTTCTCCACTATATGTTTTTGGTTAGACTCTGTGTCCTCTATTCTGTACCATTGGTCTACCAGTCTATTTTGTGTCAATACCATGCTGTTTTTGTTACTATTGCTCTGTAGTATGATTTCAGGTCTAGTATAGTGATGCCACCTGCTTCACTCTTCTTGCTAAGGATTGCTTTAGCTACTCTGGGTCTCTTATTTTTCCAGATGAATTTCATGACTGCTTTTTCTATTTCTATGAGGAATGCCATTGGGATTTTGATTGGAATTGCATTAAATCTGTATATTGCTTTTGGTAGTATGGTCATTTTGACAGTATTAATTCTGCCTACCCAAGAACAAAGTATATCTTTCCATCTTCTAAGGTCTTCTTTAATTTCTTTCTTTAGTGTTCTGTAGTTTTTATTGTAGTGGTCTTTCACCTGTTTCATTACATTGGTTCCCAAGTATTTTATTTTATTTTTGATGCTATGGTAAATGGGTAGTTTTCCTTATTTCTCTTTCAAAGGATTTGTCACTGATATACATAAATGCATTTGATTTATGGGTGTTGATTTTGTATTCTGCTACTTTGCTGAATTCATCTACTAGTTCTAGCAGTTTTATGGTTGAATTTTTTTTTTTTTGAGTCTTCTAGGTATAGAATCATATCATGGTCAAATAGTGCTAATTTGAGTTGTTCTTTACCTATCTGTAGTTCTTTAATTTCTTCCGTCTAATTGCTCTGGCCAGTGTTTCAATAACTGTGTTAAATGGAAGTGGTAAAAGATGGCATCCCTGTCTTGTTCCAGTTTTTAGAGGGAATGCTTTCAATTTTTCTCCATTTAGAATGATGTTGGCCTGGTGTTTAGCATAGGT